TTCCTTCTTCCCTTCTTCCCACTCTTCTTCTCTACCTCTCTCCCTTTGTTCCTTTCTGTATTTTTTTTTAAGATCAATGAGCAATATCTGAAGATAAGAACTAAAAATGACCAGTAGAGTTTATAATATAACCAGATGGTCATGGGTGACTGTAGAAAGAGTAGCTAGGTATAGCAGTAGTCTCTTTTCAAGCTAGTTGCAGAGAATGGGTAGTAGTTTTTTTTAGAGACACTTGGCTAAAAAGAAAAGGAAAAAAATTCTTGATTCTTATAGCTAGAGAAGAATATAATTTTGGGGAAAATGAATGAGAAAGTCTAGAACCAACAGGAAAATTCCAAGGAGGACATTTGAAGAATTCTTTGGCCATGGAGACAAAAAGCAGGAGGTGGAGTGGAGTACAGATGCAGAATGTTGAGGGAGCTTTTTACTAATGTCCCCACTTTATCCAGGAGTAGGAAGGGGAGAATCTGTGAGAGTGAGCCAGGAGGTGTTTGGGTGGCAGACACTAATGGGAGAGAGGTGACCAAGGAGATTTGGAAATATCACCAGATAACAAGGACATTTCTGTGCGCTCAGTCTTGCTGTTGTGAAGTTTTCACCAGCTCCGGGTATCTGCTAGGTACTCAAGGAGGGCAGAGAGATGGCTGGAAGGATCCTGGGTTGGAGTTTTGCTGCTCATCTTTGGCAAAAAGCCAAGGACCTGAGGAAATGTGCGATATAGCTAAAGTGAGAATTCGTGGGGCTGGCCTGGATAGGAAAAGAAATGAATTGAGGAGGAAAGTTATCCTAGAGTGGGAGAAATTAAGAGCTCATAATGTTGTAGGTCTTGAGGTCTAAGAGCAGATGCGTTTATGTGTGCACAGACATGGGTGGCACACACACGTCCTTTACTCAGCGTGTGCTACGTTTTTCTATCACAGAATAGGTTCAGACCCAGATCAAATTGCTTAGTAAGGTAATGGTTTTGACTGAATAATCTGTTTCTTTTCTTTTCTTAATTTTCAAGTTTGGTGATGGTCTCTTTGTTCTGGTGGGTTATAAGGGTGTGTGTAGGAAGAAGCAAGAAACTGAGCTCTAAAAGAGCCAAAATAGAATACTTTAAATTCATCTCACACTATTTCGGAGAGAACCAAGATGGCGGCATAGGTTAACACCGGAGATTGCTGCCTCGAACAACCAATTCAAATTACACCTAAAAGACAGAACGGAAATCATCCAGATCCACAGGAGGGCTGGCTGAGTGGAAATTCTACAACTCGGAGTAAAGATAATATCATACCCAGACTCAGAGGAGGCACAGTGCGGAAGTGAAATACTCAGGTGCGGAGTGCGCGGAGCGGGCTGGCGGCTGAGGGCGCGGTTGTTGTTTACAATGGGGAGGGG